TATTATAATAGTACGGTGAGAAAGCTTCAAATTTGCTTAGAAATCTTACCCACATTTCATTTGAGGAAATGGTAGATGGATGATCTCTCAAAAAGTATTATATACTGTATAAAAAAATTTTTTAATAAATTGTGTAACCTCATTCCTTATTTGGGACGGTCTTCCTTGTAATCGGGATATGCTATTTGTATAATAGGTAACAATAGGAATATTCCTATTAATGATTTAAGAATAACCTGATTAGAAACTGGATGTTAATAAATTAATATCAATAAGAATAACCCTATTGATATCTTTGTAAAACTTGATTGAAACCTTATTGTATCCTATCTGCATCATTATTTGTTATCAATCGGGATCACCTGATTCTAAAAAAACAAAAAAATAGGTGATCAATCAGGTCAAATCTGGTAACTCAGATTTGACCTGATTGGTCTCCTATTTGTCATTATTCGACTAGTGTTTACCTTAGCAAATCTTATTTTTATATCACTTTACTTATAATTGATCATATAATAGAAGGCAAAATATAATCTAGAATTTGAAAACTATATATAAAATTTTTATATTCCAGATTAAAAGCCAAATGGATTTTAAATAGAAATGTATTAAAGTATAATTTTTTTTTATTATTAAAAAACAAATAATTTTAAAGTAAATGCTAATTAAGAAAACAAATTAGTTTTCTTTTAGGCCTACAAATATTATTTCATTATAATTTCATTATGTAAAATTTTTGTAATACCTAGAACAACCTTTTAGGTCTATTCAGATACTTTATATCAAAAATCCTAATTTCTCTATTTACTTTAATAATTAGCAATATAAGTAATAATTAATGTATCTAGATAAAACACAAGTGTTTAACTAATGTCTAAATATTAAAGTTAAAACTTGATAAAATTATATTAAAATTTTATAAAAAATCTATAAAATTCAAAAAAAAGTAAAACTATATCAAAGCTTATAAAAGTAATCAAACTATATTAAAATCATAGTAAAAAATTAGTAAAACTAAATGTTTAAACATTTAAATAAGTTTAGATAGTAATTTTAATAATCAATAATAAAATATATTAAATAATAAATAATAATAAATAAGAATAAAAGTATAAATTAATAATTAGTAATTATATAAAAAAAAAGCTTATCATAAATATAAAAATATGGCTAATTAAAAAATATAAAAACTATAATAATAAAAGTTAAAATACTAAATAACTTATTAATAATATTACAGCTAATTTCATAATTTATAGACCAATAATAATTTTTCAGTCATATTTAGTCGCAACATTATATAATAATTTTATTATAAAATATTTTCAATTGAATTCAGTTACAAATTATTAGTGGTTCATGAATTATGAAATTAGCTGTAAAGTAAAAAAATAAATAAAACTTTAAATTTATAATAAAAGTATAAAAAATTATCATAATAATAAAACTAGCATATATAAAATTATTAAATAAAAGATATAAAATAACAAATACTAATATTTATATAAAATTTTTTATAAATTATATAATTATAATTATACATTTCTATAAGAAAACTTTTTTTTTGACTATATAATATAAATAAATTGACTACTAATAGTAATTATATTAATATAAAAAAAAATTGGATTAAATTACAAATTGATAAATAAAATTACATAAACATTAATATAAAAGGTATAAATGCAAAAAAAATATTTTTTAAATCTTTATTAAATATCTATGAAAATGTAAATTGATGAAATTTATTGAATAATTAAGATAATTAAAAATATGATTGTTTTTCTATCCATTTAAACATAAATTAATTCTTAAATATTAATAATAATGATTGTTTGATTATTGCAAGTCTTAAATGATTACTAAAAATTATTTATTACTATATTTCATCTTAAAGTCCAAATCCTCTTCTTTTTGAAGGTGTTCCAGGTTCTCTCTTTCCGGGTAGAATAATTCTAGAACGTTTAGGTGTTGAAGTCGCTTTACGTTGCAGTTCTTTTTCTACCTCTTCCTCTTTCTCTCGATCCATTTTAATTTGCATTTCCATAGTCATCTTGGCCATTTCCGTTTTGTTGGCTGCTCGCTTTTCCTATAATAGATCATTATATGTTAGGAATCTTTAATATATATATAAATATATTTATATGAATCATAATATACCTTTTGTGTAAAATTCTTCTCTTTAACTGAATAAAACATGGGTCTACAGAGAAAGAACAATTAGATTTCAATATATTAATTATCTTAACGGAATGATTTCAAATCTTTATACTTACCCCATTTCGGCTAACCAATATGGATCTACAGCAGTAACACACTGCATATATTCTTTAGATGTCATTACTAATTCGTGATAAACAATATAATCAGGAGTATACCCAAGTCCGTATAATGCACTTGTTGGGTGAAGGTGGCAAGGCATGCCAGTACGACAATTTACATATTCTCCAATTCCCTTTACTCTTGCAGCTTGATGAAAGTATGCAGAACAAATACATTTCCGCACTACATCCCAATCAGTGCCACAAGAGACTATTTCCATCTTCTCTGCTTTCATAATATCCATTAATTGCGATCTCACTTCTTGAGCTTTTCTCATAGCTTTAGAATGAATAAAATGTTTTATACACCATTCATCCCGAAAACTGAAAACATAATAATAATTATTAATTAATTACAATCATAATAAATTCAATAAAAAAGACAGAAATATTACTTACCCATGAGATTTCCATTGTGTATAAACATGTAAAAGTGTTAAATGGTCACTTTCAGGTACGAAAAATTTTTCTCTAGCCGCATCACTCTGTTCCACTCTCTCTTTCGGCCGGTAAAATACTGACGGAACCGAAAGCATAGACACTATTGTCTAGTAAAAGAAAATTTTTAATTAGGAATCTAAAAATTTAATTAATTAATAGGAAAAAATATTTACCAATATTTCTGCCGTACATCCTAATTCCTCGGACATAATTAACATTTTAGATAATGAAGGATCTAATGGAAACTCAACCATCCTTCGACCAAGAGACGTTAACTCTCCGGTATTATCCAAAGCACCCAGAATCCACAATTGATACATTGAATTCAATATGTTATCCTGAGATCCAAAAAAAAATTTTTTGAATTTTATATAAAAAAAATAAAACATAAAAATAAAAATAAATTTTACATGATCTATCTATATAACGAATATTGTACCTGAGGTGGAGGATCCATGAAATCAAAATCCAATAAATTCTTTACTCCCAAGGATTTAAGTAAAAGCACTACATTTGCAAGGTTTGTACGCTGAATTTCAGGTATTGTATTCATAAACATTTCGTGATGATAGGCTTGTTCTGTGTAGAGACGGAAACAAGTTCCTGCGCCGGTACGCCCGGCTCTACCCGATCTTTGATTCGCATTTGCCTTTTTGTTTAAATTATAATTTTATCATCAATAAATATAAAAAGTATCCTAAATAAATAAGAACACGAGAAACGCATACCTGACTGATTGGAGTAATCTGTAAGGAATCCATACCAATTTTTGGATTAAACACTTTAAGCTTATTATATCCTGTATCGACGACATACATTATACCGTCAACTATATAAAATAGTGTTAGCTATAATTACAATGTAAAAATTCTAATGTTCTAGTTGATTAATTACCAGTTAGAGAAGTCTCAGCAATATTAGTTGCCACGATTACTTTTCGAGCATTGTCAGCTGTCTTTTCAAAAATTCTGGCTTGCAGGTCAGCAGGCAACTGTGAATAAATTGGCAAAATTGCTAATGAGGGCGGATTATCCAATTGCTGTAGACGTTCTATGAATAACAAACTTAATTAGGTTTAATACCTTTAGAAATTGAAAAAAATTTGAAAATTCACCTTCAATCACTTGACACGTAATCTCAATATCTTCCTGTCCAGTCATAAATACCAATATGTCACCTGCGGGATGTCCCAAGTGGATCGCCAACACTTGCTTAACAGCACTATCAACATAATCTTCGCAAGGAGTCTTACTGAACATCAACTCCACAGGGAATGTACGACCAGGTATTGTGAAGGTCGGGCAATTTCCGAAAAACTGTGAAAACTATTATTTTGTTTAAATGATAAAAATGATAATTTATTAGATATATTGAAATTTAAATATAATTATAAATTATCCCAAACATACCTTTTCAGCATTCATAGTTGCAGAAGTGACGATCAACTTAATGTCTCTTCTACGAGAAAGGACTATAACATTGAATGAAATTAGGAATTACTCTGTTATACATGAAAATTACGATTACTTTTTATATTAAAATACCTTGTCTTAGTAAACCCATTAAAACATCAGTCTGAAGGGAACGTTCGTGAGCTTCGTCCATAATAATTGCACTGTAATGGTCAAGATCAGACTCTTTAAGTGACTCACGAAGCATAACACCGTCTGTCATATCTAATAAAATATAATTTAAAGGATTAATATAGATTTAAGATATACTGAAAATAAAGTGTGACACATACATTTGATTACTGTGCTTTCTGAAGTACAATCTTCGAAACGAATGGCGTAACCGACTGTGGATCCGAGTTTACACTATAAATCAATTGATATATATATATATATATATTAGGAAATACAAAATATTAATGTTAGTGTTTACACACGAAAAAATATTACCTCCATCTCTTCACTAACACGTTTAGCGACAGACATAGCAGCAACACGACGAGGTTGCGTACAACCTATGATACCATACTTGCTATATCCGTCTTCATGAAGGTATTGAGTAAGTTGTGTAGTTTTCCCAGAACCTGTCTCACCAACAACCACAACAACTATCAAATAAATTATCATTTAAGAAATTAATAAAAATTGAATTAAAAAATATATGTACTTTATAGTTCGTACATACCCTGATTATCCCTTATAATTCTTAACAATTCTTCTCGAACAGCAAATGCAGGCAAAAACTCACGCTGTTCACGAAGTGTTTTTGACCTTGAAAAAATACTAACTGCTTCTGACGCTTTCAAATGAGAAGCAAATTGTGAATCTCCTTTTGGATTTTCCACCATATCATTTCTTTTTTGTTCTATATTAAATATGTAAAAATCATTTTTTTAAAATTCGATTCAAATAAATATCTATAATAATATAAAATTACAAACCTGTTGAAACTTCTTCACTTGGCTTAATTCCCATAATATTACCAAGCGCAGTGCCTGCAACCTCGACAACGTTTTTTGCAGCCTATTTCATGCATAAAATAGTGTAAACTAATTGTTGAATGACAACAAAAAAGCTTAAATAGCCGAATAATCAAAAAAAAAAATTTTTTTTTTTCATTCAAAACCTTTTGACGTTCAATTTGTTCTCTTTTTTCTCTTACGAGCTGGCTTCCCTTTCTAGAAAAAACAGACATATCTGAAGTAGGATCCTTGACGGATTGCACAGCTTCCAATTGTTTTGTGAACACCATACGTCCATCAAGAAAAGGTGGTTTTAGGTCATGAACGAGTAAATGGACTCGAGCCTATAAAATATATTTGTTTAAAAATATGGAAAAAGGGAGGATATTAAAAGAAATTATTACCTCTGAGTCATCCTCAAAATCCAAATCTATTTCCCTTCGTTGCACAATACCACTCGTAAGCATTCGATTCGTTTCCCATAGCTCATTATCTTTGTTATACTGTTCCTGCCTTGCAGTCAGCTTTTTCTACAAAAAAAAAAAAATTATTAATTAAGCTAATATTAAAATCAAACCTATAATAATTATAATAATCTAATACTAACAAGTTGTTTTTGTGCAAGTTCTTCTTCCTTTTTCTGTACAAAATCTGTATAATCTGCAAAAGGATTGTGCTCCTCATCAAGGGCCTAAATAACAAAATAAAATATGGTTATTATTATAATATCCGGGTAGAAGTTAAATAAATATTAAAACTTACTCCAGATGATTCTTCAATATTATACCACTCTCGATCCAACTGCTTTTGCTCCTCTTCCCATTCAAGCCTATCACGATTTTCGCTGATAACTTCTTCTTCTTCTTGATTGTGACGATTTCTATATTCCATTTCATCATAATCAAAGGAAGCGAGGCGTGGGGTCGGAAAATCCCTAGATGGTTTGTAATCTGCGAAATAGTCAAAATTAGCTTAATATAATTGTTAAAATAACAAATAATGAAACTTACCTCTTCGAGGAGTAAGGCCACCTATTGAAAATCTTGAAGTTGAAGTTGTAGGTGTGGTATCCCATTCACTACGACTTATTCTGGAGGAACTTCTATCTGAATCTCGCCTTGAACTCACAGAGGACGATCTTTTACTTGAGCCTTCACGCCATGTCATAGATCGCTTATTTGAACCTTCACGCCACGTCATAATGCTAAAAATTAACAAAGAAAAGAAACAAATAATTAATTGAAATCAAATATTAAAATATTGAAAATTTGGATAGAATCTGAATTCTCATGATCCTTTATTTCGAACAGATGTGAATGATGTAATGACTGAAGACTTTTTTCTTTGACCACGGCGATTTCTTTTTTGTTTGCGGAATATTTTGCGTTTAAAAGATTTTAATGACTATTTTGGCAGTTTTTATATATTACCGAAACCGATAATTTGGGCCCCAGACCCAAAAAATAGAAACTCAACAACCGGTAATTCAGAATTTGTGCAACAACACTAAATCCAAATGGGACGTAACCACGTGAATAGATAGTTGTGACTAAAAAATATTTTTCGCGTTATTCATTGCGTTCTTAAGTTGTCCAACTTTCAAACGGCAATGGAAATCAACAAAAGCAAAAATAATGAGTACAATTTTTCCGACCTCGACGAAGAATTAAATGACTATGAAGGTGTACCAGGAAAAATTTCTGGCATCAACTTTGACACGCTTGATTATAAGGAAAGCAAAAAAGAAAACCCAACCGAAGTCGAAAAGAAGAGTGGAAGGGTTACAAAGAAAAGACGCGTTTTACCTAAAGTAGATTCCGAAAAGCTAGTAGGACCAGACGGTTTAACGAAATTAAAAGAGCAAGGACCAAAGTTAAAGTTCAAGGATGGTAAAAAATCAAAAAACGCGACGATTGAAAATCTTAGGACCGTTGTTAATTTTTATCGAACTTGGGCACATGCATTATGCCCTCAAATGAAATTCAAGGATGTTATATTTCAGTCTGAAAATATATGTAAAGAAAAAAGGCTGAAGCATTATTTGGATGTTTGGCGTGAAGAAGCCAAGAATAAACAAAGTGAAACAGATGATTATTTGTCAGGTAAAACCTTGGCGGATGATGAAGAATCAGAATTTTGGCAGACACCTTCTCAATCAGCTTCTAGGAGTAAAAGAAACAAAATATTTTCAAGCTTCGAAGATAAACTAAAAGAAGGTTCGGCAGGCCAATATCGCGAAGAATCAGATGACGATGATCTAACTTTGGTGAATCAGTTCCATGAAAAATTATTTGATGCAGCTTTGCTCGATGATTACGATGACGTGACATTAAATGTGACTTCCTTGTAAATGTATATAATTACGAATTTATATGTTATTTTATAAACAATTTTCAACTTTCTTCGGGATAATGCTTTTGATGATTTGTAATTAGTTAAATTTACTGCGACAACGTGCACGTGAATTGAATTATAAATAAGAAACTTTTATAAATTTTTCAATTATAAAAAAAAAGGAAATGGATATAAATACGATATTGACACTTCCAATACGAGTATTTTCTTTACCACCTGAAGTATTATTAGTTATCATTCCAAGAAAAAAATTCGTAAAATCCTCAGCGAAATTAATATCTGAACCAGAAATAACAAATAAAGTGAAAGACAGCGTTTTTTTTAAACAAAATGAAGATAATATAAGACCTACATGCCTTGTTTGTGGAATAACCTTTGAAAATGTAGAACTGCAAAGAACTCATTATAAACTAGATTGGCATAGGTTTAACGTAAAAAGACGTGCTGCTAGCTTAGAACTTGGTAAAAAGCAATATATACCAACAACCGAAGAAGAATTTGAAGAATTAATGGGTGGTAAGACACTAGGAAAATTTATTATTATATTATTAATTATATGTTATTTGTTATACCATGAATAAAAGATTTTTTTTTAAAAAAAAAAAATTTTATTTATAGATAGTATATCAAGTATTTCAGGATCCGGAACGGATTGTTCTGACACAACAGAGGATGATGTAGCAACTCTTGTTAATGAATTGAAAGAAACTAATTTATATAATGATGAATTAACTGAAAGAAAAAATAATAATTCAGAACCAATCTCATGGTATATTTGTCCTAACTTATTTCCGACTTCAATTAATTTAGGTATATATAAGAATATTCTTTATAATTTTGGAGACAATGATATTGATGATATTTACAAGTTACAAGTGAAACCTAACGAAAAACAAAATCCAAGGTTATGGGCAATGATAATGATTGGAGGTGGTCATTTTGCAGCATTGATTTTGGATGTTACAAAGAATACAAACGTGTTTCATGCTAAAGAAGTTAAAGCGATAGTTCATAAAACTTTTCATCGATATACAAGTAAGAAATAATTTATTATTTATTTATTTACTTTTATTTGAAAATCAATAAAAGAACTTTTTATTTAATAATTGACTTAATAATAATCAAGCACGTAGAAAGCAAGGGGGGAGTCAGACTAGCAATGATAATGCGAAAGGAAAGGCCAAATCTGCAGGTGCAGATTTAAGAAGATATAATGAAGCTGCTTTACAAAAAGATATTCGTGCTCTAATTGGTCAATGGAAATCAATGATTGAAGAAAGTGAGCTTATTTTTGTTCATGCTCCTAGTGCTAATAAAAATATTATATATAATTACGAAGAATCAGTTTTAAAGAAAGGTTTGTTTGACGAATGCTTGGAAATTTATTTAGAGTTGAAAATTTTGAAAATTTTATTTTATCTTATTTTTAATTTGTTCGAATAGACGACAAAAGAATTAGGAGTTTCCCTTTTTCCACTAAACGTCCGGTTGGTGAATTATTCGTATTGTCAAATTAAAAGTTTTCACACTTTCTAATTCATTTCAATTTCTAGACTTTTACCGAGCTAAGAAGATCCTATATAGAGTTAACTAGAATAAAGGTGTTAGAAGTAAAAGAAAGTAATGATGATAATGGTATACAAGAAACTATAAAGAGCAAATTGACGGAGGAAAATCTGAAACGTTCTCAAATTATCACAGAAACGATGGAATTAGCCAAGTCAAATGAATCTTCAGATATATTAGAAAAGGCATCAAACGAAACAATTAAAATGTACAATCTTATAAAGAAAGGGAAATTGGATCTATTCGTGAATCATATTACTAAGAATTCTTTTAATGTGACAGACCTTCTTCCTATCACGCCAATTTCTGAGAATGATATTAGTAAGATTCCAACTTTACTACACTTGGCGTCATCTTTAGGTCAACATGATATTATCGAATATCTTTTAAATCAAGGTGCAGATCCGACCATTACCTCAATAAAAAACTTGACACCTTATGACTTGGCAAAGGATAAAGAAACACGTAATGTATTTCGAAGGTATATGGCAGAACATATGGATAAGTGGAACTGGATCAATGCTCATGTCCCTAGTCCTTTGACAAAAGAGATGGAAGAAGAGCAACTGAGAAAACAAAAAGAAAAGAAAAGGAAGGATAAAGAAAGAAAGAAAAAGGCAACAGCTAATAAAAAAGAAAAAGAAATAATTGAAGTAAATAAAAAAGCAATAGCTGAAAGTAGCGAATCTATATCTTCAGCATCAAAGAAAAATGGTTCATCAATGACAGGTAAATCATTAGACAATTCTAGTTCATTAATTGGATTACCAGCTGAAATGCGTACGAGAATTGAAAGAGAACGTCGCGCCCGAGCTGCTGAAGCACGATTAAACGGAATGCAAAATAGAGGTGCACCTAAACCTTTAACCCTCCCTTCTATAGGTAACGTTGTTTGCAATATGTGTGAAAAATCTCTTTCCGGATTAGTACCTTTTGAAATTTGTGAATTGAAATTTTGTAGTACTGTATGTGTAAAGAACTATAGAGATAGAGAGTCAACGTAGTTACAAAAAAAAAGTATATTAAATATTCAAAAATTGAGGGATTCAATTTTTTGTTATCAATTAAATCTTTGCGTCATTTAAAAATTACCAGTAAAATATAGTAAAAATAAATTTAACATATACATCGGATTTCTACTCTAACTTCAAAATGTTAATCTTTATTTGACTAATGCGATATTATTTTACGGCGCAGTTTATTTCGGTAAAGGGCCATTATGGAAATTCCGCTGCGGATTTGTATTGTCATAAATTTAAAAAAAATTCGCTAAGCATATTTCGACTTAACGCAGACTGTCTTGACGAAACTCTTTATTATTTAGAAAATGATGCCACTTCATTATTGACTTCCTGTTCAAATGTGATTTAACATTTTTTGATTATCCAAAGTAGGTGATACAGCAAAAAGGAATTTATTGGAACGTGAAATTTCACTTCAATTCTCGGACTTATACTTATTTAAAGTTGCCATTTCTTGAGTCTCTTGAGGTTCATTATATAATCCCTTCGTTTGAGGAAGCTATCTTCAGATAATTTTCTTGGGGCCTTGACCTTTTAGCTGATCTCGGAGATTTTGAATTATATAATAAAACAATCGCTAAATCTTGTTCAAAACTTAAATTTGTTATAATATATTTGATAGATCCTAGTCTGCTTCTTGGAGGTTATAAATTTTTTTGGATGGAATCATAAACTTTTAAATATTATCAGAAAGTTTGGTCCACTAAACCTATCTCATCTTATATTCGATAGTGAATGTTGTTTGACACCTGATGCTCTGGAATTATTTTTAGAAACTTGGAAGACGAGAACCAATTATCTTTATCAATTTATGGTTTAAGAGGTCTTCATCAAAGGTTAGAATTAATTGAAGAATGAAGGCATTCTCAAAATTTCAACGTATATGAACATGATGTTAATGAAGTAGTTTATAATCATTATTTACTGTCAGAAGAAAATAAATTTTATCAAATTTTTATCAGCAGTGACAATATCCCTAAATTTTGAAAATTTATTAGATTATAATTATTTTTATAGCATGTTAAAACAAAGAAAAATTGGGCTTTTTCACTGTTTATTGATATTTATCTTTTTGAAAAATATAAATTGTTAGACCGCAGTATGATCATTCACTACAATTTTTAATTTTAGATACTGTAAATGATGAGAATTGATAGAAAACACATATTTACTTTTTTTTGTTAAATGAAAAAAAAAATTACCGGACCCAAAACCAGACGGGTCGGCTGCGCCATCATATTTCGTCAAATGCACGTGCCATCATTCTTGAAAAAATTTGTGATCTTTGTGGCTTGGATAAATTCCTTTTCCCCTGAAGCGATTTGCAAATACAATCCACGACATTTATTCAAGAATAAGTAATATCTTACCTTTCGATTACTTTTTAAAGCTATCTGTAATAACTTTCATTGTTTTGTAGCTTTATGATTCTTATGCAAAAAAAAAAGACTTTTAATTCAGTGTTCGTTTCTCAAAATATTTGATCATTGATAGATCTTTTGTCGTAAATATTTATCTATTACCCAAACGTTTTTTTGTATATGCTAGCAAGATTTTAACGGAACCCGTTCTAACTTCAAAGTTTGTACCATCTTACCAAACATTTTGGAACATTTTTTTAAAAAAAAAAATTTAATGGATAAAACGATCGTTAAAACTTTGGATCCAACATACTTTGCTAAAAACGATGAATTTTTAAGACATTTGCACATCTTGGATACGTTAGCATATGAGTCATTAGAAGCTCAAATAACTTTTATCGGGGAAACAATAAGGAATCCAAAAAATGTTGTTAAAAACATTCAATTGAAATGGCATGCTTCGACAAAATTTTCATGGTTTTATAATGTCAAACGATCCTTGTTGAATAATAATGGATTTGTAGATATCAATATGTATAGTGTATCGGACAATGACGAAGCGTGCAATATCGTCCGTCGTTGTAACATAACCCTATTTTTCAATTCATTGTTCGCGGAATTTGACCCCGAATCATCAGATCTCTCAAAAGTTGATTATAGAACGTTCTTTGACTATATCGTACCACCCTCCCTTTCGCAATCAATGGAAATTTGGCAATTGGGTTTAAAATTGAAAACTCAATTATATTTATACAAAATGCGTAAGGATCCATTGACAAATATTTTTAATGAGTTGTTCCCAGAAGAGATTGAAGGTCCACCAATATACAAGGAAGCGCATATCAATCTTCGAAATACGATTAAAAAATGTTCCGGAGATATGGACGCTCTGTTGAAATATTTTGGTTGGTATACGTTCACTCAAGAGATGTTTATCTTCTTATCTTGCATAGCGGGAGAACTAGACAAGCCGGTATTGCATAAGCATACATCGATCCACAAATCACCATTTTCATCATCTCCTAGTTCGACTCAGATTTTTAATGAGGATTTATTACAACAAAAAGGGTTTGACAGTCCAGGTGGTAATGCAAAGAAATCGAGGTCAAGTGATTCTGAGCAGGATCAATTTGGTCTTATGGTCGATTATAATTTTGGTGATTATCATAAAAGTGGAGAGGTAGCACAAGTGATTTCACGTGAGAAAACGTACGACCAGAATCTAATTGTGAAGCAGCCCAATTTGGCTAGGATTGCCGCAAGCCGTAAACCGCAACGTTCGAGCCATTTAGGCATATTTGGTACCATAAACCTGTCCCCAAAAATTAATTCGGGTACAAGAAGACAAAAGAATGTAGAGTCATGTGCTTTTGTTTTAGGGTAAGTCAAAAAATTTGAAAATCATGGCGAAATAAATTACTATCATTTAAAAGCATGAAAAAAATTTGTTCATTTAATATTAGGCAAAGGAATTCGTCAATTCAAAATCTTTCGGAACAAAAAGTAGTAGATGATGAGTAAGTTAAATTATTTGTTATGCTCTTTGAAAAGTAAATCATTTCATTGATATCTAATTTCATATATATTTTAGGCAAACATCTCCAGAATCGTCATTCGTGGAACAAAGCCCATCTCGTAAACGAATCAAAGGCAATTCCAGGTAATCAAGAAAGAGATAATTTTGTCATTATGCCGTAAAGACAATATATACAATTTTCTTTAATGATTAAAGTTTGTAAATAATTTTTTCCTTAAGAAAATCAATACCCCGGAGTAAAAAAAGAGCCATTGATAATTATCTCAACATTGATGATGAAGTTGTTCAAATTTCAACGAAACGAGTTAATTGGAATGATGAGGAGTTACGCGCCCTTGAAGAAGGTATGCGTGAACACGGCAAGGCGTGGTCTAAAATAGAAAGAGATTATGGAGGACCCGGACAAGTCCTTGAGCGCCGAAAACAAGGACAATTGAAAGATAAGGCGCGTAGCGAATATAATCGTCGACAAAAGGATAACATTGAACTTGGTGTCTTTGGGATCTTTGAGATGGATTAAAATATATATATATATATATATAATTAAATTCTACAATATATACGAAATATATTAAATTTTCTAACTATACACAGCACGAACCAATGGTCATGTGACACCTTAAACTTATTATAGTGGGTTAGGGTTATTCATAGGTCATCCGAGTCAAATCGAAGAAATAAATTACAATTTTCAAAAAGATTTTCAATTTTAGAAATAGAAAACGAAAAAATTTATTTATTTTTTTTTATTTTTTTATTTTTTATTTTTTTTATTATTATTATTATTATTCAAAATACCAAATCCGGCTTTAAAGGAGAAGACAATTTTCGTGTTTTTATGTAATATTTAAACGAATTATAGCAATAATAAAAATAAAAACGTACCTTGTCTATTAATGATAATGCATAAACATATTAAAAATTAAAAATGTAAAATTGTAAGTTCGTAATTCAAAATCTATGAAACTTGCACGAATTGTTATAAAATTGGAGAAAAATATTCATGAATCAAAGAATCAATAATGCCTTCTGCCAGAATCGAACTGACGACCTTCTGCTTACATATGATACTAGGCAGACGCTCTGCCAACTGAGCCAAGAAGGCGATTCACATTTCTTTTTTTCTTTCAAATCATTATTTATAAATTATGGAATAAAATTCGGCACGTTAGCGAACAAATTTTTTTTGCTATTTAATTAATTTACGCAATAGATGATTATCTTCTATTTTTACGATTTTTGATTTATTGTTTAATGTGAAAATATAATATTTTTCGATACTTATAATTCAAAAAAAAAAATAAAAATAAAAAATAAAAGGAACTACCAATGATCCAAAACATCGTATTGCACCACTTTAATATCTTTCTTATTCTTTTCCTTTTGCCATTTATCAAGCCAATACTTCATATTTTCCCGACTTTTCTCGGACCTAATAAAAATAAAAAAAAATGTCAATGAATGTATTAAATGGATTGTATGTGAATTTATTTACTCTATTCATCTCACCCAATGTTAACTGTCGGTATTATTTGTTTAACGTTCAATGACATTACAAAAGCGGCCAATTCTCTAAAACTTGAATGTTCAGAATAAGGCACTCCGAAAATCTGACACGTTGGCGTGGAAAACGTTGGTCTTATAGAATCAACAGTGAACAAAGTGGATGCATTAAGAATCTCTTCAGTCGTAGAAGAAGTTGAAAACCTTTGTCCTTCCGTTGGTTTATAAGTCCATCCAGTTGGACGAAAAGCCATGACAGATTTGAATGATGGTTGAAGACTTTCAAGATATGCACAAAGACTCTATAATAAATAAATAAAATATGTATTAAAGTAATGCGTATAATTAATAAATTTAAAGCAATTGAATAAAAGTGAAAAGCAAAATTATTACATCGGATTTGATTGATGTTAGGGATACAACGTGTACATATGCTTGATGAGGATCGTCCGTCAAGAGTGATTCAAGACCGGAAATTTCCTGGCACATTAGCATCTTTCGTTTCTCACATGTAACATAAATCTTGGTCCTAAGAGCCTTTGCAATACCTATAACACAATAATGTACTCAATATTCCAATAAATTGATTATATAAGATTTACTAAAACGTACCAAAAAAGACCTTCTCCTTGCCGATTAAGTATGTACCAATTACAATTAGAATTTTACTATCCTTTAATTCCAATTCATCGATATCAATACTTTCATCATCACTGAAATCAACTTTTTTCATATAAGAATTAGATTCTTCAGTGTCCATTACTTTTGTTTCAATTTCAGATTGTTCAGGGTTAAGAATTTCTGGTATTTTTTTAAACCATTTATCCAATGCAAGTTGCGACTTGTTCGATTGAAGCTGCTTGTTTTTACCTTGACAGTTATTACCATTGTTACGTTTCATAGGAATCAGTTCACCCCTCTTAACCGTTTTACAAACTAACTTAATCATAGCATTGATAACTACTTCTTGAGCAGGAAAAAAATATTGTGGATTTAAATAGGTAGTGTCAAGATATAATATATCAACTACAAGATTTTGAGGTTGTGTAATAGCTGAATGAAGAACTTGCCGTGGACAAGCGCGAAAATCACCGGTATGAAGATATCGTTTGATTTGTCCGTTTTCATTTTTAAATTTAAACAAGAAAATTGCTGATCCAGGACAGCTAAAAGCGTATTTAACATTACATAAATAATAAAAGGTAAAGGAATGAAAACTTTCAAAAAAAAATTCTTTTTTTTTTCAATTTAAAACTTACTGATTGGCATCGATCAAAGTGACTGTAATGCCATTATTATTATCTATGCAAACTTCTTCATTCATGGGAAGTTTGCGAACAAAATGACGTGCCACTTTTAATTGTTGGATAACCAAATTGCCAGTAACTGTAGAGCAGTAAATTAGCCCATGAGACCACTTTGACGTTAATCCACCATAATGATCCGAATGGAAGTGGCTTTAATTAAATTAAAAATTGTAGCCAAATTTAATAAGTACCCATTAACAAAATAAATTATCTCTTCCGCTAACTTACCTCAAAAAGTAGGCAGTGCAATGTGGAATTTTGCCATATCTAAATGCATCCATCGTTATGCTCGTGCCTAATTAAAATAATTCAGTTACAACCATATAAAAGAAATTATTGCTTTTAAAATTTAATCACCTGGTAATTTTTTGTACCATGGACACTCTTTTCTAGATTGAGATTTGGCTTGTTTCTCAACAACAATTGATTCTATTTCTTTACTTTCAACATCTAATATACTTCTTGATTCTTTTTCATCTATGCTATATCTAAATGATTCTTTAATGACTTCTGCATTACTTGAAAATGATTCAAGTGGTAATGATGATGATATATTCTTGATTTGTATATTCTCTTCTTTTGTTATGGATAATTTTGATGAACTATCAAGACAATTATTGACGTGTATATTTGACTCCTGTGAGAATAAAATAAAAATAAAATTTGAATTTCCTAATATAATATCTTTTTGAATTCAATAAAAATGAGGGAATAAAATTATATATTTATTTGAAAACTCGCTTTAGATGAAAGATTCCTCAAGGATATTTCACAAATAGGACAGTTCTCATCATCAATAATCATTACATCAGGAGTTGATTTCATCTTTTGATCTTCTTCCCTATAAAGAGGTTTTTTATCTTTGTTATCTTTCTCTTCATTCAAATAAGTTTCTTTTGAATGTTGATTTTCTTCAATCGAATTCCAGTATCTTGATTGTATCGAGCGTCTTTTAACAGTAAGTATTTCCTTTTCTACTTTAATCATTGATTCCGTATCACATTTAATACGTTTAATAGTATTTTTAGATAAACTTTTTTCTCGTTCAATAGTAATATTTATACTTTTATTATTCTCTATTGTTTCGTTTGATGTTATTTTTGGTGAGAAAAATGAAAATAACGTTGGTGTATTTGTAGTTGACGTGGGACGCGTCGATTTAACATTATTTTGTTTAGTCCGAGTTGTTTTGGTACTACTAATTTTATTCTTTGATAGTTCCTTTCGGGGGGTTGAAGGTGGTTGGGAATAAAAAAACGCGTCTTTTCGTTCTATTACAACACTTTCTGTATCTCCGGAAATTCGAAGTTTTTGAATCAATTCGTTGGTTCGCCTGTTCCAAATTTCATGATCCGGACTATCTTCAGACATTATTATTTTGCCGAGTTAAACTAAATTTTGTTTGCTTAGCAAACGCGAACTAACGTAATAGGAAATCCGCGTTAAATATTTATATTACTGTAATGATAGAGATGACTTTTGGTAATCTAAAAAACTAACTCGTCGGAAAAAAACTCAGGTTTTTTTCAAGAAGATATCTTTGATTAAATTCTCTTTACTAAAATTTATTCACCCCGGTGATACAAAAACGCGATTTAAAAAAACGATATTAAAGTTACACGAACGGTTACGAACGGTTGTTATTTATCATTAATGCTGTTTGTAATTTTGAATTTGTTATTATCGAAATTTAAAATATTTAAAATACAGTATAAGATTTTTATTATTTATTAAAAGTTATGAGGATTAGAACGTGAAATACTATAGATTCTTATACCATTTCTTGATCTGTTTTAAAAGCTGATGAATCAAAATGTGATATCTCCGGTATCATATAATTTTTTTTAATAATTAACAATGACAATAAATTATTTAATATAAATTAGATAACTTTTATTAGTCTGAAGTGAATCAAGTGAATAGTAAGACTATATGGGAGGTTTGCTAGGCTCTGAGCATTTTTTAAAATTTTAATATATATTGCATTTTACAGTAATCTAAAATTATCAAAAATTAAAATTTTAATAAAAATTTCTCAGAACCCCATTTTCTATTAAGATAATTACATAAAATATATTAAAGAAATTTTATAAAATCTATTTATTACTTCTAATTTTTAAATATAATAAAGCTTTATAATTTTATAAATTATATTATTAAAATTTGCATTTAAAATTAAATAGAAATATTATATGTTTATAAGAAAAAAATTTAAGAAAAAAATTATTTCATAAAAATAATTATTATATAATATCAGATAATCATTTATTTGGAATTTCAAGTTGAATAACTACCGCTACCTATAATCTAACTTATAATATTGAAAATCAAATATAATAGTTATTCAATACTTTTTAACACTTTGTGTTGAATAAGTAAGTTGAATATCTGCTAAAAGTAACATAAGCTTGAACAGAAGAAAAATAGTAAAATCTAAAGCAAGTAAAACTTTTGATAAAATTAAGTCTTATATTTTATGCAAAAAAAAATTGTAAAAGAAATTATATATAATGAAAATGATTTCCATAAAAATTCAAAATAATGTAATTGTTTATAAATATTTATATCAATTATAAAACTTTTAACAAAAAAAAACAATTAAACAAATTTATTTTAAATATCAAGATCATAAATGATTTCTATAATACTATTACATATATTTTGTTTAATTAATAAATTATTAAAAAATATTATATATGTATCAAAAAAAGTATATAAATTATAAATATTGTTATCTTGAGAAGTTTATATATTAGTTTAACTTGCATTATATTTGATATTCTCAAATACTGTAATTATAAAGAATTTGTATTTCTAAATAATATTTTGTTTTAAGATAATTTGATTATATAAGATTAACTAATACAATTTGTTAAAGTATCTTAAATCATTAAGAAGATGTATGTCTGATTTTTGAGTCAAATAATCTAAGGTTAATATCTGAGAAATTGAGAAGAAATTTTTCTATAGCAATTAGTTACAATAAAAATAATATATTCTGAGTTTCAATGTTTTTTAAATCATTAATATTCTATGATATAATTGATTATAGAGAATTATAACCTCCTTTAATATAGAAGAAATCAATCATTTTTTGATTAGTGATAAATACAAATGCTAAATTATAATATGATGTTAGAAGATTAGAGATATGTCAATAACATTAAACTTTATTTAACTAACAGATAAGAGGATTATCATATAACCAAAAATACTATTATAGCTATTTAAGTTGAATTATCATAAATAGTCCTAAGACTAATTTATTAGCAGAAATATTAATTATATTAATAAACTTTTGCAGTTTAGGTTAAAATGAATTGAAAAAAAATTATTGAATCTATATGTAAGCTTGCAAATAATAGAATTTAAAATAGAAGTTTTAAGTTTCAATATTTATTTGATAAGTAATCTCATAGATTTGTAAAACATATTACAATCATGATCAGAAAAAATAAAGAGTTTGAATCTATAATCTAAATGAGGTTTATACTATATTGTCTAAATAATATAATTGTTTATCTGTTAATGGTTTAAATCTAAACTTATCAATGAAAGAAGTAATTTCAATAGTAATTTGATATTTGATAAATTTTTATTGTATTAGGCAAAGATCTATATCTCTAATCATAATAAATAATCCAAAGTAAAGAAAAAATAACCTCTTCTTGATCAATGCATATAAGTATCTCATAAGGGTCTGTAAGACCAAAATCAGTAAAGATTTTTATTAGTTCTATTAAGAAATAGTCTAGTAATTAGATTAATAATTATGTCAGGTATCTTTAAACAAGCAAAAGTATGTTTAAGCATATAAATTAAAAATAGTCACTATAATTAAAAAAAATGGTGCAATTGAGTTGCAACTTGTAACGTAATATAGTATAATTAAGTTGCAACTCAATTGAAATTTAAAAATAATTATAGGGACCATCTTTAATATAAATATTAACTCAATTAAAAGCCTTGAACATGTTTTAAAAAAAATATAGATATCAGTTTTTCATTATAGTTTATAATATTCCAAAAGATTATTAATTATGTGAAGGGATTCTATTATTGATTAGTATGGTAATTCTGCAAAGTTCGATTAGTAAGAGCATTTTGTTAAATAAGAATTTTTTGTAATCTTTCATTTAATTTTTATAAAGACTTTTCTAACTATTTCTAGTAAGATAATGAGTCTAATATTATTAAGGTTACAGTTTCATGATTTTAGTTTAAAGATCAGATACATATAAGCTATGTTTTTATTATTTTGAGGTGAAATCAGAAATAAAACAAGTACAAATAATTTTAAAAAAATTTGTTAGAATCAGTCTTATTTTTTTTTAGTAATTTATTAATATAATTGATAAGCTAGGAGCTTTATCATTAGGTAAATGTTTGATAATAAAGAGCTATTCTTCATAAGTAAGGAATATCTAATATATATTCTAAAGATAGTACTGTAATTAAGAAGTTGCAACTCGGTAAGTTGCAACTCCTTGTAAAATTTATTTTAATTTAAAAATTCATAAATAGTTGCAACTAGTTAAAAATTTTAAAATTAATTACAGCTCTATCTTTAATATATTCATAGATTCATAAACAAGTCACTTATATATAATAATAGTTGACAAAATTCTTCCTATTAGAGCTAGAGTTATGAGAAATTAGATATTAGTAGATCAGTAATTTTCAAATTTTTAAAGGCTATTACATTTTGAAAATATTTACTAATAACTTCTTTGATTTAATTAAGGTCTAATTTAAGATAATATTCTTGATCAGAGTCATTAACTAGAACTTTATCAAGTACTATAGTTTGCTTGAATTACTCAAGATATAATCTATTATTTTAGAAGATATATTTTTGTAATTGTCAAATTTTTGGGAGATAAATGCTTTAATACAGTTATTACTTTCTTATTTTAAGACAATTTTTAGTTAATATTTTAATAGTTTAATAATAAATGCTAAGGTTTCATAATTTGATTTGATATTTGAATATTTAATTTGAAAATCAAATCAAATACAAATTCAAATTTATATTTGATTCAATTTGATCAAATTTAAATTAATCTTTGATTCAATTTGATTAAATTTAAATCAAGTATTTAAATATTTGATTTGATTTAAATCAATAGTAAAGCCATCTTTCAAGTTTCAAAAATAGTTTTTACTAAGAAAATTATAGTAAAAAAACATTTTCACAACTTTAGAAATGCATTTTTTACTAAGAAAACTATAGTAAAAAATGCCATTGTGATTTTAAAAACATCATTTTACTAAGAAAAATATAGTAAAAATGCTTTTATGATTTTAGAAATATTATTTTACTAAGAAAATATAATAAAAAATACTTCTGCAGCTTCAGAAACCTTTTTTTTTTATTAAGAAACATAATGAACAAATGCATCTGCAACTTCAGAAATATTTTTACTAATAAAATAGTTTCAATACTATAACAGTAATTATTACTAAGTTTTTTAGTAAAACTGAAGTTATGATAGTGGTTATTACTAAGTTTTCTTAATGAAACTGAAGCTATAATAGCGTTTATTACTAAGTTTTCTTAATAAAACTGAAGCTGCAAAATTGTTTTATTAAGTTTTTCTTAGTAAAAATTCACCTATTACTAAATTTACTTTGTAAAAGCTATCTTTGAAATTTTTTAATATAATTATTAATGATTTTTCTTAATTAAAATTTTTGAATAACTTTTATTTTAATATATCATTATAAAAATAAAAATCTTTTATATTCAATTCAATTCAACAAATATTTGATTTAATCAAATTTAATTTGATGTAATCTTTATTATTCCAGTAGTTATGAGAATCTTCTTCTTTCCAATTATATATAATTTCATTAATTTTAGTCTACCTTATCTCATATATATCAACAAATATTTAATTTAATTTAATTTAATTCAAATAAATATTCAATATAATTCAATCCAATTCAATTTAATTTAAAAAACTCAAATTGCTTTAATATTTGATTTGATTTGATTTTGAGAAATCTTAATAAATACTTTTAAATCTTAAAAGTAGCAAAACAAATTTTTTTAATAAAATAGTAAATTTAATGAAGCAAAAGATATATAGTATTTAGTCGCAATTTTTAAAATATTTGAATGTTCTTTTAAAATAATAATAAATTGATTATTAGAAAGTTAAGTGATATAGTTAATAGTAGGGTTCCTCAAAATCAAATCAAATCAAATATTTAAGCAATTTGAATTTGATTTGATTTTTTCAAATCGAATCGAA